GATAATTATGTCATAATATAATAGTTACTCTGTGTTCAAATATGTGAGAATCTAACATGAACACAATTTTAAAAAAATCAATTGCGAAAAATTACACTGAATAAGTAAGTATAAATATACAGAATATGATTTTATAAATAAATACACACCCTTTTCCAAAACGCAAAGCATAATAATTAATCCCTGAACCCGAAATCATATCAGTACATATTTATGCACTAGTATTGGCAAGTATATAAATGATTCCCCTATAAGCCTTTGTAAGCACATATATATCAATACATTAAACAAGTGTTAATACTGTTCTCATAAGAACGTGAAAAATATTATAAAATACTAAAATTGTTTTATTCACATAAAAGTATATGTTATAAATGTTATTGTAAGAAATAAATTTTCCTCAAGAAAATATTTTAAAATACGAAAATATAATAACCTAAAAAATAGAGGCAATCCTGTGTAAAAACATATACTTAATGATTCACCTTCAGATTTTTGGCTTGCCTATTCGATAAATCAAGGAAATGTGGGCTTCTATATTCGGTAACCTAATAATTATATTATCCCTATTAAATCTAATTAAAAATATCTCTAGACAATTATAAACACAAATTTTATTTTATTTGTTTTGTCTTTTTTTTTAATAGTATAATAATTGACAACATTTATTAATATAAAAATGTATATCGTTGAATAAAGAATAAATTTACCTGTAATTTATATAGAATATAATTATTTAAAGGTTCTTAATAGTATCTTAGTTGAATGTGGGTTATTTTTTATCAAATATAAACTCGTCATTTATTTGACGATGGATAATATATGTTCATAATTCCAAAGAAATATAGGTATTATTAATCTAATGAATGTATATAAGAAATAAAAATATAAAATATAAAGGAGCATTAATTATAACCCTTTTTAACTTATTATAAACATTATGTATTGTGCTTGATCATCTAATACTTTAATTATTTGAAATAAATTTTTCCATGGAACAAACTAAACCTTTAAAAAAATTTCCTTCTACTTCTTTACAATACAAAATTATGTACCTATAATAAAAAAAATTATTTTATTTATTATGTTGTAGATTCAGATAATCATGTAAGCAAAGGTATAATATATTTTTTAAATTTCATTATATCCATATTAGAAAAAACTGTATATTAATGAATTTATATGTAGTCCCTTTTATATATAATGTTTTCCAAAAAACACACGTCTAAGAATATATATATATTCAATAAAATCATAGCATCTCATTAAAAACTTTAAAAGTCTAATTCTTACTAAAAATTAAATATATTATATTTATAAATTCTTGAATTATATTATATAAAAAATAAAATGTTAGGCACAAAGCTCTTATTTATAAAAATGATAAAAAATATATGTATTCAATAAAATATATACATTTTTCCTTTATAAAAAAAAAAAATATACGTTATAATTAATCTTTCAAAAAACATATCAATTTTAATAGAATAATATTTATGGAAATGTTTGGAAGATATATTAATGAATTAAAATATTGTTTGTTAAAAACACATAATTAATATATTCAAAATATTCCTAATGTACATTCATATACAGAAATAAATATATATAACAAAACACTTATTTTGTGAAATATATGTAATATAACACTATTTTAAATTTTTAAATATAAAAAATAATTTCAATTCTCTTAGGGTTTGAATATTATATATAAAATTAATATCCTTGTACGCATAAATTCTCTTTCACTCTTCATTTATGGCTTAACACTAATAATACTATAAATCAAAATAATTACATACCTGATGTAAATTATCTATATTATTGTAATAATAAATTTTTATATATACTTTTATATCACTATGAATAATAAATGAAATATATAAAGATATTCAAGTAATATTTCATCCATAAATTATTATGTCTTTACAAAGTATATCAATGATTTCTTTACGAGTTAAGTGCATTAATACATATATAAATAATATATGGTATATATATAACGATAAATAGTAATATTATTTGTTTACAACAATTATGTAAATATATTTATTAATTCTTATTAAACGATATTATAGAATTATATAAACAAATAAATATACATACATTCACATATTTTTGCATAAATACATATTCTTTAATATGTAAATGTTAATAACTCATATCATTTTTTCCCCCTAATAATTTGAGCAATAATAGTGCAAACGTATATTATTTAGAGATTTAACATAATACATTCTTCCAATAAAATAGAAAACATTAAAATGCGTTTAATGAAAAACTCAAAATGTATTGGTATAATAAATCTGAAATATGGAGAAAAATATGGGACAAATCGTTGAATAATATATAACAATAATTAATTCTATTTGTATACATAGCATTCCTATAGTCATATTATGTATAAATAAAAAATATATTTATATTATAATCAATAATCATAATGGAAAAAACATGTACACAAATTATATATAAAAAACAAATAATATATATTATGAAATGTCTATTAATATTTTATAAAATAATATGAAAAATTATATAATGCATTTACTCTTTATGTTAATCGCAAAATAATAAATATAAATGTGCAGTATATAGGGATATAGGAAACTTAAATAAACATATCACAACACTATATATAGATATATATATCTTAATCCTGATTACTAATATAAAAAAAACAAATCATAAAATTTAAAACGGAAATTCTAAAATTCTATAATTCAATACTATAAATGAACACCAAAGCTTTTACCTAATAAGAACAAATTATACTATAATATTTTAATATATAAATATTAAAATATAAAACTATTATTATATTTATAAATTAATAATAATACATATAACATCAATATAATATTGTGTCTATTACTTTTAGCGCATTTAAATTTATATTAATAAATATAATTTCTTTTTCATATTAATTAGAATATATAATGGTTAACAACAATGGAGCGAAAGCTGAAGTATGTTTCTAGATGTTGATAAAATTATAATTCATATTTTTATATATATAATTGTCCTATTTAATAAAACCTAAAAGAAACATTTTCCTTATAAACATAAAATATCTGTATGCGCTACAAATTTCAATTTTAGTTATATTTTAAGGATATATTTCCTAAATGTAAGGATTATTATAATAGTATTTTACACCTAGGGATTAGTAAATACATAGAGGATAAAGTACATAAGGCTTGCAATGATTTTAATAGTACTTTTCAACCTAATCATGATGTATGGTATAGTTTTTATCAACCTTGCATAAAACTTGGTCTTTATTTACATGAAGTAAAAAATAAAAATATATATGATAGAATACCATATTGTAATTTTTTTATCTACGAGTTGAAACGTGAAGTAAAGAATAAAAGTCCTAAAATTGAAAAGTTTGATGATGTTTACGAAGAACTGTTAAAATTATACAATAAAGATGACGTAATAATACCTAATGTATGTAAAGAATATGTATCATTAATGAACGATCCTGTATATAAAATATTCAAAATGTTTGATGAATTATATGGTCATTTTAAAGATTTAAATAAAGAGAAATATGATAAATTCTCTCACGTTAAATTATGTGCAGAAAAATATCAGGAATTTTTAGAACAAGATAATAAAAAGTATAACAATAGTTTTCATGAAGAACTTGATAAATTTAAAGAAAAATTTCATAAATTTTTGGCAACAGAACCTAAGTACAAAGATAATAATGAATTATTGAATTATTTCTTGATGACACCTCCAAAAAAGGAAATTAAAGCAGAAACATTATTGGGAGATACTAAAACTACTGTGAAGTGGACAAGCACGGGTGTTTTGTTTTTTGCAATATTAATAATTATATTTATTTTGTATAATGTTAAGAATATATTTAACTAATTAAATCCTTACTCGGTAAATATTTATAATATATCTTATAATAAATATATAATGTATAAGTAATGCAATCATAGTATATATATAATATTTTTTATTAATTATCAGTATAGTGCTTATGGTTCATACTTACGACTAAAGAAAAGAAAGATAAAAAATCTGCGGAATAGAAAAAATAAAAAACATTACGAATTAATGAATTTATTTGAAGGGTCACAAAAAAATATAATACAAAATAAACATAATATATTATATAACTCAGTTGTCTAATCTTAAATGAGTGTAATAATAAAAAATGTATTTAAATGATTTTGAATAATATATAAAGTAAATTATAAGATTTATTAGTTGCATCCATAAATTAATATATATATGTAGATTAATAATTAAATATAATGATTAAATTATAAATATATTCTAACACATTTCTAATTTGATTAATAAATATTATGAATTTACTGCTTTATTCTCATATAAAAAACCATAATAACACATTTTATAAAAACATTAGAATAAATAATTAATCTATAAATATACATTGACAATTACAATATATTATAATTAATAATATAGGGAGAATCGTATTTATACATTATAAATATATACATATAATAGACAGCGTAAAACGTAATTATACTTCTTAATATTTAATTAAAAAAAGAAATTTATATCTTATATAATAATATATTATAAATATTTTAGTTCTAAAATTTAGCCCAACAGAATATACAAATTGAAGGAATACGGAATCTCAAAGCATATTCAGATATTAATTATTTTATAATACTAAAAGCATATACATATGCAATGTATTATAACTAATACTTAAATTAATACTTATAATTAAACTATAATTTATAATAAATATATCTTTTAAATCATGCATATGTAAATCAGATAAAAAAAATTTTGTAATAATATGAGTAATTCTGATGGGTGAACATATTATATCATCATAACAAGCCATGCAACTCATAAAGTGAATAATTCATATTCAATTAATATATAAATTCTATTATATAACACTTTTAAATGCATAATATGAGAATTATTATAGAATTATAGTTTTATTTTAATTAAAGAAAAATATGTAATCACATTTAATTATATAAATTTATTATTATAATTATAATAAAATAAAATTTCAATTAAACTTATTATGTCTTATTCAATATTTATAAAATGTATAAATATTAAGCATATATATCGTAATAAATCTAATTTTACCTATAATTTTTGTTCTAGACTTTTTGTTTTAAATAAATCTCCTACTTTTTTTACATGTCATTGAAAAAAAAAAAATATATTATAGTGAATATTATTTTAGTTCATAAAACATAGAAGAAATAAAAATATGTTGATAAGAAAAGTATAATTGTCGAATAAAATAAAAGAATTACATCACGCATAAAAGAGATATTAGAAATGGGATGACTAATATATATATCAATTAGAGTCATGGATGTTAAAAATTATATCCTACAAATAGATGCATTATTCTGTGTTAAAATCATTTAAGCATGTTCATATTTATAGATTCTAGATCTAACATATAATCAATAACAATAAGATGATTTTGTTAAAAATATTACATAAAATAAAAAATAAAATTATAATAATGTTGCATGTTTTTAATATTTAAAATATATTAAATATTTTCTAATAGAAATAATACATATATACATATTTAACATTTTTTTTAAAATATATCTCTTGTAACACTTAATAATATTACGTATACATATTGCACACACGAATTTCTTCTTCAAATTATTCATATGTCCTTAATATATGTGAACATTTAGAATGATAAATAAAATTAAATTTTATTTTTTCACTTATTTGACTCAATTATTTGTTTCACTTTTCTCCTGTGGACCAAATAGATTTTTTGCTAATTTAATTATATTAATAACTACTATTAAAAAAATTTTACATATAGACACATACATATATTTTCTCTATAAAGAAGTTACTGTAACTATAATTTTTTGCACATAATATACATAAAATTATGTTTATTCTATATTTGTGATATATGTGATTAAAATATATAACATTTTAATTTTCTTTGGCAATCACAATTTTTTTAAGAGATATTATAATGTAAATAACAATCAATATATATATATCTAATATAATATTATAATTTAACGTATTTATTAAAAGATACCTAATAAAGTACCTATATATATAATAAGATAATAATAATATTCCAATTTAAAAATAAATCTTTAATATATTCACATCTGAATAGATTATAGCTAATATATTTCATTGTAATATATTATATAATATAGTCATAATCAATAATAAAGTGTATAAAACATATATATGCAATTATAGTTATATCACTAAATTCGGAATTAATGTTATGATGTTAGAATAAATATTATTATATACTTATATTATTAAGGAAATATTTTATATATAAAAAATTCTTTAACGATGTGTATAACGATATTGTGTTCATAATATAGTAAACACTTATATTTATTAATGTATATATCATTTAATTGTTTAAAAAAGTAAATCCATAAATATATAGTTAATACATTAAAAATAATTGATATAAAGCTAGCTGTTCTTTAAGCATAAAAAAACTGGAAGTGTTATAAGCTTTTATAAATATATTATCTGCAGAAAGTTAACAATTAATTAGATGAAATATGTTATGTTTACAATATATAACGAAAAAAATTAAAAATTATATTTTTAATAAACTATATTCTTTATATTTCTTAATGAAGTTTATATAATCAATGCAATATCAATTATCTAAAATGATAAATGGGATAGATATATTTTAAAAATACCTGTACAATTAATATTTTTTTGGATTTCACTTATTAACATAAAAATTATTATGTAAGATGTTCTAACATGAGTATTACAGTTGAATAAATATAATTATATATTTATTGAATTTATGTTTGCGTAAAAAACAAAAAAAAAATAAGGTAATAAAATAAAAATTTTCAGAAATAGTAATTATATATTATACTATTACTTTATATGTAACATATACTTATAATTTTATATTACTTTGATCTTTTGCATACAAGTGTAATTAAATAATGTTATTTATATTATTATAATGTATATTTTATGTGATAATAACAGAATAATATAAAAAGAAGGTACAATAATGAATGTAACAAATAAGAAAGAGGTCTCTTTTTATCAATTCTATTACACACTATTATATTTGTAGAGTATATATAATATAGTTGCAAAAAACGTGATTACTTGAAATGCACTATCTTTTAGGTTTAAACAATGGAGATATTATATAAATAATATAGCAAGTTAATTAATATTAAAGATATATAATAAGTTAAAAAAGTACTTTTTAAAAGATACATGTACATGTATAACATTTCGGATGTTCTACAATAAATTCTGTAATTTATTAACGTTAGTTATATATGTATGAGTATAAATAATTATTACTTCTTATAAAAGTTCACTATATTTCTATGATGGACAAATAGGAAATTAAAGAAAATAAATTATATTCTACAATGTACAATATGTTAACATACAGGACTCATCATATATGAATTAAATAACCCTGTGTTTTATCTGAAATGTAAAATTACTCATTAACATAAATAATTTATATTAAACTAGGGTTAAAAATGTTTAATATAGTGAAATTCGTTTAAATTATATACATTAAAAAATAAAAAATTCTGTTATACATATAAAGTAATTTAAAAAACCAATAACATAAATAACGATTGTGGTGCATGGATACATAAAACAACTAGTTTTTATATAACTATATAATAAGTACGCAATATAAGAAAAAATATTTATAATCTATATATTTTTTTTATTCTGCAATCAAATATATATTATATGATTTGTTTTATTTTCTCTTCAAAGTATATACTACTATAAGTATACATATTTTTTATTAATACATTCATTATAAAATATTAAAAGTATTTTGATGAAATATATAATGCGTTATTTGTTCATAATAATTCCATAATATAATGAAAAATAACTCATAACATTAAAAAGAATTGATTAATATCCTAATACCTTAATATATTATAAAATATTATAATATTTATTATGAATATAAAGAATTTGAAAAACAGCAACAAAATATACAATAATAAAATTAAAAGCACAGACTGTCATCAGAGAGTTATCTACTCATGCAAAAAGGTATTAAAGGAATTTTTATTAATACATCTATTATATTATAAACTAATGCATATTGAATATATATATACATGTAAATAAATTAATGTATGAATATAATAATGCAAATATTATACACAGCATAAGGTTTTATACCATATGTCATATTTATATTAATAAAAAATATGTAATATTTCCGTAAATAAAATATAATTTATGTATAAAGTTAGATAAAAAATAAGATAAAACGACAAAAAATCGAAAAAAAAAAAAAATAAAAATAACCTATCGAATGAGATAAAATGATTCTAGATAAAAAACCAATGACTGTAGCATAAGCTATAAAATTAAAAAAAAAATTCCATTGATCTAATGAATTAACTCCCTAGTTTTGAATCAAAATAATAAAAATGAAAGATAAAGTATGAAATATTAATTTTTTATTATGGATGTAATAATACTAGATTGATATTTATATAGAGCGTTACATATATTAATATACCGTGATATATTTAATAATATTATTTATAAATTACATGGTTTCTAATATTTAATCACTTATATATTTTTTTCCCATTTTCAGGATTCATTCCAAAATAATCGATGTAATGCAGAATCAAGTACTGTTTGGGTACAAATGTACACATAATTTAATTGCAATGACGGTGCAATTTCATATTATATTCATCCAAATTTTGATAAAAGTTTATTCTTTTTTTATTTTTATTTATATTTTGATGTATGTAAATAGAATGAGAAAAAATGTGATTCATTAAATGAATGGATAAAAAAAAAAAAAGAAAACTTAAATTATGAAATAACTAATGAATTATGGGATGAACAAATAGTGATACTATACTATGAGAGTTTTACGTATGAATATATTAATTCGCGCACAAGGAAAAATTATAATTCAAAATATATCTTGTGTTATCAAGTTTAAAAAATCGCCTTAAACCTTTATACATGACTACTAGTACATTTAATTTATTAAGAACTAATAAAGAAAAATCTGATTCATTAACTATGGGTGTTCATTCTTCTTTTTCTTTAACAGGGAACCCTGTATATTCTCATATATCAACAATAAAAAATGTTTTATTCGTTATTAT